ACACGCAGTCACGGTGCTTTCCAAATCCTGTCCCTCCTTTTCAGACTTACAGATGCTTTGGTGACATTTTTATTGCCAGCAAACCAACCCACCTGCCTGCTTGGTTAGCTCCAAGTGGCTGTGAGTGGAGAAGGTCCTGAGAGCAGGATGGAGGAGACGTAACTGGAAAGCCTTTCTGTGTCCAGGAGCCCAAAGAAAGGGCAGCAGTGGGAAGGAGGCGGTGCCTGGACATCCGAGCGTTTGCAGTCAGATGGGATTCATTGTTGACATCTCTGATTATTTCCTGTGTGGCCTTGGATGAATCACTTGGTTTCTTTAAACCTGTTTTTTCCTCTGTGAAGCACAGAATTTGTTTGCCTTAGGGAAGTGTTATAATGATTAAAAATTCTTCACTTTTATATGACTTGATTTTGTAAACACTTCATGAGCTAAGTGTTATAACCTACATTTTTTTTATTTGTTATTTTATTTTTTAAAAAGTATTTTTATTGATTTCAAAGAGGAAAGAAGAGGGAGAGATAGAAACATCAATGATGAAAGAGAATCATTGATCGACTGCCTCCTGCACGCCCCACACTGGGGATCGAGCCCGCAAACTAGTTTTATGCCCTGGACCGGAATCAAACCCAGGACCCTTCAGACCACAGGCCCACGCTCTATCCACTGAGCCAAACCAGTTAAGTCTATTTGTTATTTTAAAATTTTTTATTTTTTAGTTACACTAGTGATTAGACTTTTATAGGTCTAGTACCCATCTGGAACTGGCATTTTAAACATGAAAAAACTGAAAAAGGCTCAGAGAAGTTAAGGGATTTGCCCAAAGTCACACAGCTAGCCAGTAGCAGGGATGAGATTGAGACTTCAAGGCCAGTGTTGTTTCCCCTGGGCCAATAAGGACCCAGATTGGTGTGTTGAGTGCAGCATGTACCTGAGAGGTGTTTAGTTTTCTGTGTGTAGGAGATGGGTGTGTTTGTGAATATAGAGAGGAATGTAGAAGGTGTTTTTCTTTGTTCAGACTGTAAAGTATAAGCCATCATCTTATATAATAAAAGGCTAATATGCAAATCAACCGAACAGTGGAACGACTGGTTGCTATGACATGCACTGACCACCAGGGAGCAGACGCTCAATGCAGGAGCTGCCCCCTGGTGGTCAATGTGCTCCCACGTGGGGAGCACCACTCAGCCAGAAGCCAGGCTCATGGCTGGCAAGTGCAGTGGCAGTGGCAGGAGCCTATCCCGCCTCCGCAGTGGTGCTAAGGATGTCCAACTGCTGGCTTAGGCCCACTCTCCCTGGGGAGTGGGGAGCAGGCCTAAGCCGGCAGTCGCATACCCTGAGGGCTCCTGGACTGTGAGAGGGCGCAGGCTGGGCTGAGGGGACCCCCCCCCCAAGTGCACAAATTTCGAGCACCGGGCCTCTAGTTGTCTAATAAAGGCCTTCACCTTCTTTTCCTGCCTCTCTGAAACTTCTCTGCCCATATTATACCCCCTCCTTTTTTTTGGAACTTAGGGCATAGAAGCTATATTAGTTTCAGAGAGAGGAAAGAAAAAAGGAAGAAGAGAAAATTCACAGAATCATCT